TGCGGTTTACAGGGCACCTAGAAAGCTTTATAAAGTGCTTTCCCAGAAGTAACTTGGCGGGACCCTTCTGTTCTCACTGTGTTGCGGTGTGGAAGTTGGCGCACCTGATTTTCCACTTCGTCTGCTTGCTGGGCCCAGCGCTGTCCCCACAGCCTCCGCTCTTCTCTCACTGGTCTCCAGGAGCTGCCTCCCTCTGATCTCCTTTTCCCTTTACATCTGGTGCCCTCCACTCTGTTGTGGGTGTGCGTTCAGGTGCCTGCTGCTGTTCGGTGGCCGTGTGTTCCAACTCCATCTCCTCCACCCTGGAGCGCCTGTGCCCACTGCTGTCACCTGCACTCTGCAGTCCTTTGTGGGGGTGTGGTTTCTCCTGTGTAGATGCCTGGCCCATGCAGGCTCCCTCGGCAGGAACTGCACTTGGGTGTGGGCTGGCTTACCGTCTACTCTCCCCTTCATAACCATTTTGGTCGATTTGAGTTTGGATGGCTGAAGGTTGGATTTCCTGAGTTACTGAGGGTATAACTTGCTACTAACATTGTATCATTGATCAATAAACTGTCCCCAAGAAACAGCAGTGAGCAGGGCACCTTGTCGCATACTATAATCCCAGCAGCCAAGGTGACTGAAGTAGGAGGATGGCAAGTTTGAAGCCAACTTCAGCCAAAAAAAAGTGGGGGAAGGGCTAGGAATGTGGCTCATTGGTTAAGTGCCCCAAGGTTCAGTCCCCAGTACCAAAAACAAAGGAAAAGGAAAAAAAGAAAGAAACAGCAATGATCACAGTGCCTGTGGCAGCAGGTAGGGCCTAGGCATGGGTTCTGAACGGGGCAGTGTGGGTTTGGCTGGGACCTGTACCTTACTGGTGTTTTCTATTTGCCCTGCCCCTCCACGGGCCTTTGCTCAGACTGTGGAGCCTCAAGCATGTTCAGGCTGCCTGTGAACGCTTTAGAATTGTTATTGGCTTTTATATAGCCACAGTATTTATGATGTAATTTATGGTCAGTTAAACTTTATAAAATTAAGATTTTTTTTTTTTTAAAGAAAGAGTGAGAGAGAGAGAATTTTTTAATATTTATTTTTTAGTTCTCGGCGGACACATCTTTGTTTGTATGTGGTGCTGAGGATCGAACCCGGGCCGTACGCATGCCAGGCGAGCGCGCTACCACTTGAGCCACATCCCCAGCCCTAAAATTAAGATTTCAAGTATTCATAAAATAACAGACAAGAAAACTGAGGCATAGAAGTGATTTGGTGGAGACCCTACCCAGAGCCCACAATGTGCCAAGTGAGGCTGTTCCTCCTTTGGGCTGATGTACCCTAAGGACTCGCTGTGCACTTTTACGTGACACTACTTATTTGTCTAGGTCACATCCCCTCCCTGCCAACTTGAGTCTTGGGTCTGAGGCAGCTCTGAGTTTCCTGGCCTCCTGTCGTGCTCACCTTGCTCTGTGGGGTCTGCTGGCCTCGTCTGTCTGGAGTGCCGGCACAGGGCAGGTGCTTCATAGTCAGCAAAGGTAAACCCTGCCCAGGCGGTGCCAACCCTGAAGCCCTGGCCTCTCACAGATGAGAGCTGGGCCTGACTGATGCCCTGGGGAGCTGGCTGTATCAAGCAGGTGACAATTGGGACTACTTTGGGACTTAAAGAAAAACTGCCACTGGCAGTTTGATGAGGCTAGGGTGACTTGATTGTGGTGGTGGTGGCTTGGTCGATGTGCTCCAGAGAGTCATGTCACCAGTTAGGAACTTCGAGATGTCCCCCTGATGTTCAGACAGCTCTTCAACACTGCCTGCCTCCACTCGGCCGCGCTGCCTCCTGCTGTCTGTGTGTGGGTGCCGTCATTGTTCTGGTGGCATTCTTCACCCAGGCAGTGGTCAAGTCTGATCTGGCCTTCCCGGCCTATGTCCACCCTCTGAGGGTCTCACTGCGAACGTTTCATGTGCCCTCCAGCAGGCCTCCCTGCGCCAGGTTTCCATCTCCCCCAGACACTAGGCACTGCTGAGATGCCCCTGGAGTGGCTCCTGTGGGCCCCAGCCCCTCTGCCCCGTAGCGATTTTATCATCTCTACAGTCCTTAAACCTTTATAGCCTTTCGCCTTTTGCATATCTATATCCAGGAGCACCCCTTCACCTGCAGTTTTGCTTCCCACAATTTGTTATAGTCTAAAAATATTAAATCAGAAATTTCAGAAATACATGGTGCTTTAAATTGCGAGCTGTTCTGAGAGGCTGCCCTGGACATGAGTCATCCCCCGCCCAGCACAGCTGCTGCACACGCCGCCCACACCACAGCATCATGGTTACACCATCTTCCTGACATGTCGTCACAAGGTCAGCAGTCCACCGCTGTTTCTTGGTGCCTGTGTCACCTCGCCACATAGACAGTGTACCAGCTCACATCCCCAGGAAAAACAAGGGGCAGTGCAGGAAGACAGTGGAGAGAAAGATCACATTGACGTGGCTTTATTGTGGTATGTTGTTACAGTTGGCCTAGTGGTGGGGGATAATCTCGGGGTGCCTTACCTACAAGTTGAGCAGTATCATAGGGGTGTGCGGGAGGAAGGTGTGTGTATTGGGTTTCGTTCTAACCTTTTTCAGGCATCCACAGGCACTCCTGGAACATAACCCCCACAGTTAAGGGGTGACTCCTGCATACACACAAACATGCCTGTATGAGTACCTGTGTGGTTATAAATGTTTTTTATGTGCTAATCAGTTGTGAGCTGCTTAAGTCCAAGAGAATATTTTCTTTTTGGATATTTAATAAGTGTTGAATAAATAAACTCAAAAGTGTTTTTATTAGTACTCATCCTCCACTGGGACCATATTACAGATGTTTGTGCCTTGTCTTATAGTCATTGTCCAGTTCTGTTTTGTTCTTTGGTAGCATTGGGAATTAAACTTCGGACTTTTGCTTAGGACCTTGCTAAGTTGCTGAGGCTGACCTTGAACTTGCGCTCCTCCTGCCTCGGCCTCCTGAGTTGCTTGGCTTACACGTGTGCACCACCAGGATAGGCTGGAGATATCTTGACTTTGTCTTGTTAAAGATGTAGAATTTCCTTCCTAGTATTTCTAGCAGCATGTGGATAAAAGATAAAGTTGCTTTCCAAGTCTGGTATTGATCTTCTGTTGGGAAGGAACTCCTTCTTGTTTTAAATGTCTCTTGAAAAAAAAATTTTTTTTTAATTTTAAGATGTGCTGTGAAACATTCCCAAGTCTCACCCGTGCTAGGCAAGCGCTCTACCACTGAGTCCCAACCTCTGCCCAAAAAAACCTTTTAATTCCCCCTCTGGAGTTTCCTGAGTTTTGAATGCTTTTGAGTCTGTAGTAAGGCTGAGAAAGTGATAGAGCGGACATTGGCAGGGGTCATCAGCTGGCATCTCGCCACTCGAGCCTCATTAGTGCACGTGATGCATGCACACTTGTGAAAGTGGACTCTGGCTGTCTTGACACTTGCTTGCTGGCCCCTGAGCCTCTCTCAAGCAGGGACACTGCCCGGAGGCAGCGCCATTATCACTCCTAACAACCTAACATCGTAGCAGACCTCATGCAAGTTTCTTTGCCTGCTTTCATTCATAGCTCTGTGTATCAGGACCCAAAGCCCACACATAGTAGTAGCTGTCATGTGTCATTCAGCCCTCTGCCTTTTTTGTCCTTTGTTACTGACACATTTGAAGATCTGTGCCAAGATACGGAGCAAGTGATGTTTATCCCACCAGTGATGATACTCAATTGTGGTGATGGCTGATGTGACTGATGCTTCCATTTGAGAAGGACCCCCCATCCCCGCCTCAAATTAATAGCACTGTATGGACTAGTGGTTGGAGGTCATGTGAATGTCTTGTTCTCCCCAAGCCATTTTACTGTTTGGTGTCCCCGAGGAGCCCTCCCCGGTTGGTTGCTGTGTTGGTGGTTAGGATCGGGGTTTCTAATTGTGGTTTCTTACGCGTTTACTACCTGATGTTCTTCAATGTGAAAAGCTTCTGTTTATTCAAATAGACTTTATCTCTAGAGCACTTCTAGGTTCACAGAAAATGGAGTTCCTGTGTGCCCCTGCCCCTAGAGCACAGCTCCCCACTGCCACCACAACTTGCCATGGTGGGAGCATTTTCTGTGAGTGTGTGTCCTTATCACCAAAGTCCCACAGTTGACACGAGGGCTCACTTTGGCTTTGTACCTTCTGTGGATTTGGACAATGTATAATGACCTCATTTTTTAATTACACATAACAAGTAGGGTCGCAGGTGATCGCTGCTGTACACGTGTGCACTGCCAGGGAGCATGTGAAGCATCATGTATTTGTCATTGACCACTCAAGGTCTGTGTTAATCTTAAGAAACAAATTTTGCAAATAAAGCTGAGAAGTTGAAGGACCAACTCCTCAGGTGGTAAGACTAGTGTCAGGAATTGGGGTTTCAACCAGCACACTGAAGAATCGGCAACTTGCTGAGGGCCAACCGGGGTTCACTGGGTTGGCAGGACACCGTTATTTGAGGACCTGGAGAAGTAGGCGTGGAACACAGTATAGCCCTGGCCACTCAGCACCAGGCTGTGGGGGAAAATAGCGTGTCCTCAGTGTTGCCCCTCAGCTTCAGTAGTCCCTCCTCCAGATGCACAGTGTTTGCTCTGGACAGTTGGCTTCTGTATTTCCTAGTGCTGCCACGGGAAGAAGGGCATTGGTGCAGATGTTAGGATGTGAACATTTTGTAGATGCAGATTGCAAGGGACTGGGGGAGAGCTCCTTGTTTTATGAAGATGCACTGTTTGGATCTGCTTATCCAGAAGTGCACATTTATTTATATTCCATGTTTCTGTCCTCAAAATCAGGCACCTTTTTGATAAGTCTATTTATAATATTCTCTAAAATGTTCAATTCTGATTGCATATTATAGTGGAGTGTTGGTCTAGGCTGCTGGCATGTGGCTTAACTGAGTGGAAGGCGGCCTGGCCTGGCCTGCTCCTTGGGGACAGGCTCATGGCAGACTCATCCTGTCTGTTTCTCCTCCTAGGTCCCGCGGCAGTTCTGGTGGCCATGGTTCCCGTAGCCAGAAGGAGCTGCCCACAGAGCCCCCCTACACAGCCTATGTAGGAAATCTACCTTTTAATACAGTTCAGGGCGACATAGATGCTATCTTCAAGGATCTCAGCATAAGGAGTGTACGGCTAGTCAGAGACAAAGACACAGACAAATTTAAAGGTGAGTTTGGGAGGTCTTTATTATTTATCAATGGGGGTGGTCAGTGAAGATGTGTTAGTGAACCAGAACACCCCACTCGCCTGGTCCAGGGAGCTGAAGGGAGCATCGCTCTTGACTTCACAGTTCCTCAATTGCACTGTGGAAAACCTGTTTTCCTCTTGATCCAGTTTGTAGAAGTATGTGGCTCACTCCCAGATGGGTCTGTCTGACGGGAGAGCAGGCCCATCTCTGCCCAGGAAAGAACTGGGGAGCTGAATCTGAGGATTTTGAACACATTTTTCATGGAGACTAACTCTCAGTTTCTTGGCCCTTTTCCTATAATCCAGTTATAAAACCCTCAAGGTAATGTGTCTGGGGAGGGCTGCTGGTTTCAGATGAAGTCGATGTCTGCAGACTGGCTCCCTAAGGTGTTTGTGTAGAGATGTGTCCTGCCTCTCCAGGTTTCCTGGAGGGAAGTGTGCCCAGCCTAAGTGCATAGTGCCAGGTATGAAGACATTGGGCCCACACTGTGCATCATGGAAAGTGCAGTGTGACTTATGATCAGGAGCAGGATAGGAAGAGCAAAGGGCTCATGGGTCAGAGTGGTCTTGGGAAGCCACGAGTAGCATATGATCAAACTGTCAGTTGAGCTTGGAAAAATAAGTCCCACCCAGCTTACCCACTGAGACATGATAGTCATTCAGACTGGGGTAAAAACTGTGCGTGGACCCAGTCGCACTCTGCGTGGCGTGGGTCTTGGAGTTTGTCTCGGAATATTGTCATGGCCTCTGTGAGCCGGGTGTGGTTTCCTCCATTGCTTTCTGTATTGGATCCACTCGGGGGAGAGAAATGGGGGGAGCCTTTGAGTGTGGGCAGGATGCTCTTGACACGGGCCATAAAGGGGAGAAAACTGGGCTCGGCCTTCAAAGTTCTGCCTTCCTATGGAAGTGTCGTCCCTACCCGGGGTGAGGGTTCTCTGGGGAGGTGTGCAGGTGCAGTGTGAGCATGTGGCCCAGGGGTGCTGAGCCCAGATTTACACTCCAGACATCAGGGAGGGGCAGTATTAGAGTCACGTCAGTCACCTGTGCTTGGGCTTAAGCGGCAGGTAGCTTTGTTGCCAGGGATGCATTTTTTGGCATTGTGAAACAAACTTTATACCCAGGTAGAAAGTTAATGGGCACCTCGAACCTCTCCTGCAGAGCACTCTAGGTATTAATTTAAATCTATGAAATCTGATCCCAATTACAGTATATGAAATGAAGTCTTCCAGAAGTTGAATGGCTCTGCGGTAACCCGAGAATGGTTTGCTGTTGTAGTTAGAACATTCCGGGAATCTCTGCTCAGACACGGCTGCCATTTCAGTGCCTGTTAGGTTGGCATTTTCTAACTAACAGTATATAATGGAGAGGGAGGAATGTCCAGGTTCCATTTCTTGGAAATGAAATACCCTCTTTCAGAGTCTGCTTAGCTGCTCTCACCTTGATGCCACAAAACTGGTCATTGTGATGGAGGGAAATGGGACCGGTGGGGGGATAGCAGATACCTAGTCCAGAATTCCCTGAAGAAGGTGGGGCTTCTTTTCTCTTCCAGGATTCTGCTATGTAGAATTCGATGAAGTGGACTCTCTGAAGGAAGCCCTCACGTACGACGGCGCAGTGAGTGCCCTGGGTCCCCTGGGTCGCGCGAGCAGCGGGGACTTGTCTTCTTGCTGATACTTACACTATTTTCCCCTTATCATTAGCTGTTGGGTGATCGGTCACTTCGTGTGGACATTGCAGAAGGCAGAAAACAAGATAAAGGTGGCTTTGGATTCAGGAAAGGTGGACCAGATGACAGAGGTGATTGGTTCTTCTGAGACTGAACGTGATGCTTGCTGTGTGCCCAGCAGTTGCAGCTCCTGACCGCAGGACGCTGTCTCCTAGGCTGATAGGTCCTCGTGAGCTTTAAGACCGAGCGCCAAGTCTCAGGAGTAGCGGCTCCTGCGAGCCTGGGGTTCTCTGTTGGCAGCAGGACTCTTAAGTGGTTCCATTGCACCTCCCAGCTCAGGGGTTGTACGTCTTCCAGATAAGTTTTCCATGTTTGTGCAGCAAGGTAATGAAACAACCTCAATTTTATCTTTTTTGTGTATCCTCAGGAATGGGTGGCTCTCGAGAATCTAGAGGTGGCTGGGATTCCCGGGATGACTTCAATTCCGGTATCAGTATTTAAAGCCTCACGCTTCCCCTTCCCAGCAGCCTCTGCTGCTGTGCTCCCCACAGTGGCTGGGCCTAGCTCCCTTCACAGACAGGACCTTCCTGAAAGGCACACAGGCAGCAGTGAGCCTCCCTGTCCCTGGGAGCAGAGCTGAGAGTCCAAGTGGAGGGCAGGCCAGGCCCGTGCCCCTGCCGCATGCCCACCTGTGCCTGGTCAGCATGGCCCTGGGTCTCTGCCATTGGCAGTCTTCGTCTGCTCAGGCACTGACCCGGGGAAGCTCCTCGCTGGGTTTGTGCATGGCACAAAGAGGAGTACAGTTGCTTCTAGAAATAACATAGTTAGAGGTTCTGGAAAGTGGCAGAAAGCCTCAGAACTGTGGTTCCTGGTGGCTCTTCAGATGGCGGAAGGGAGTCTGGAGGTCTGTGTTTTCCTCACAGGGCGTGTGGCTGCCGTCCCTTGTGCAGACATCTGCCCTAAACATTCCCACCCACCTAGGGAGCCAGTGGTGGCTGAGCTCAGGAGGGCGTTGCCTGTGGAAGGGTGACCTCCCTCCCTGGAACTTGACTTCATGTCGACCTCTGGTTCTGTAATTGTGGAGGACAGCACAGATATGATGAGAACATTAGTAGTGGAGGAGGGTGGACAGGAGAGCAGGCCTGTTTTCTTTCCCACAAACTTGAGTTGCGCTCTGCACACCCCGCTGTGCAGTGTGGGAACCCCAGCCCCTTCCCCAGCCTCCCCTCACCTACATGGAGCTTAATAGTCCCAAGCAGGGGAGGGACTGTGGGCAGCTGTCGTCTGAGTCTGGGAAGTTTTGAAACTCACTTCCAGCACTGCTTGAGCTAAACAGATAACGACATGTTTGTTGAGTAACTTAGTTCTTGAAAATCCTGTATAGCCAGTCAGAAATGAGCTTATTCATAAAAGTACAGTATCATCCAGTAAGTCTGTAATTTTATGTATAAGCTGGTCTCTGACTGAAGCACGCAACAGAAGTCTCCTCAGAGCCAGCCCAGCGCAGGGTCAGTGGCCCCGAGACCTGCTGAAACAGCACCGTGGGCCCAGCACTCCAGGGGGACTAGCTCTTCCCTGCGAGCTTGGCGTGGCCCTGATGCCCAGGCAGGGACGCAGTCGGAGCCACTGCTTCACCACTGGCACTGTGAGCCTCAAGTGCGGTGACATCTAAAACCCGGCGGGAGCGCTAAAAAGAGTCGTGGCTAATTTGATGCTTTATACTTTACTTGCAAAATAGATCTTTTTTACTCTAATGGAATTATGCTTTTTTAAAAAATGACATGTGCTCTTGTACTTTTCTAAAAGCCACATGAAAATTAGCAATACAAAAAAGAACAGCAAAGATAGGTGTAGGGCTGGGAGCACAGAGCACAGGCCCATGTGCCTGGCCCTGCGTCTCCTCACTGGCACACAACCGCTGGGACCAAGCATGGGCCGGTGTGCTCAGCTAGGGAGACCACTCCAGGTTTTCATGGATGGTGTTTTTCCTAGAAATCCATCAGCATACTTGATTAAAGATGCTTCCTGGGGCCAAGCCTTGCCTTCCTTCCTGTGTAATTTTCCTAAGGGACTTTGAAGTGAGGCCTGGTATTAGTAGATGCTGATTTTGTTACGCTGCTGTGCTTTGTCACACCCCTGGACAGAGTAGCTGTTGATTTGCCTCATTGAGGTAGGTATGAACCCATCACTGGAAGCAACACTTTTTTGGGAGGGCGGGTACTGGGGATTGAACTCGGGCACCCAACCACGGAGCCCCAGCCCCAGCCCTATTTTGTATTTTATGTAGAGATAGGGTCTCACTGAGTTGCTTAGCACCTCGCTTTTTGCTGAGGCTGACTTTGAAATGGCTATCCTCCTGCCTCAGCCTCCCAGCCACTGGGATTACAGGTGTGCGCCACCGTGCCCAGCAGAGCAACACATTTTCAAATTTCATATTAAAAGGGTATAACTTGCACACACACATGGAAAAGTTGGGTTAATTGAGGGAGGGTGGGGTTAAGCATGTGATATTGATTAGGCTTGGATTGGGGGTTTTGGTTTGGTTTAGTTTTTCTGCAGTGCTGGGGATCCGAACCCAGTGCCTTGTGCATGCTGGACAACTGCTCTGCCACTGTGCCACCTCCAGGCCTCTGAGGAAGCTTAATCAGATAATATGGTCCTACGAACTTCATAAAGACCTGAACGCTTGACTATAAGCATCCAAGTGTGTTTTCTCCACAGCCCTGTTCCTGTTCCTGTTGTTTCAAATCTATTTAGAATTGTCTTCATCACACATTTCGTTAAAATTCACGTTGTGCAACTCAGTCTCTGAACTGGATTTTAGATAACTCAATCTATTTCCAAAATCCATGCCACCCTTAAAGAACAGAAAGGCTGGACTGTGCAGATGGTTGGGTCTTGTTGGTTAAGATGGCTGTGTTCTATAAGCCACTGGGTCACTGAAACAGCCCGGACCAAACCAGGACTCCTTCCATGAGTGCAGGGTTGGGTCCCCTGAGCCTCGGTCCCTGCGTCCTAGGCAGTGCCCAGCCTTGTCTCTGTGTGCTCTGTTCAGAGCACTCGACCATGTAGCATTGCTGCACTCATCGCACCAGAGCTCTGTCACACCTGTGGTATCCAAACCTGAATGGCCTGTCTGAAGCCCATCGTGGCCTCCCTGCCCCTGGGACACTAGGCAGTGCTGCACTGCTTGGGCTGTTTTAAACCTTGAGATCACCACTTCCACTTTATTCTTTATTTTGAAACAGGGTCTCACCAAATTGCTGAGGCTGGTTTTAAACTTGTGGTTCTCCTGCCTCAACCTCCCCGGTCGATGGGATCACAGGCGTGCATCACCATGCCCTCCAAGTGCTGCCAGTTTGATTTGGGGATAGACATAAATTCTAGCAAATTAATCTGGATAGCGAGAATTGTTCGTATGTAGAATATGTCGGGGGCCTTAAAAATGAGTTCCTTAGAACACTGTGAGCTGCAGCCCCCACTCACTCAGGTATGAAGGGAGGATACTGACAAGCACCAGGGGAGGGGCTCCAATGCCCCTCGGAGTGAGGAGCCTCCTCGGATGGCCTTTCCTTACTACCACACAGGTGCTTTCCTTCTAGAACAGTCCACGCCATATTGTAGCAGAAATAGGGAAATGGGACGGATCATCCAGAGACTTAGTATTTTTGTCTTCGTGTAGCTTTTCCTTATGATTTTTGTGTCCTAAAGCATTTAGCTTTTAAATTTTGGGTTTGTCTTTTTAAATAACTAGAAATCAGACCAAGACCTGCTGTAGTCTCATGCTATTTTTCTACTTTTCTTTCAGACTGAGAATTTAAAGAGCTCATTTTATTCTCTGTGAGTCTGGGTCTTGTTTTATTTTAAGTCTCTTAACTTGTCATTTGTACTTGTTTTCAGTATTCTTTATTTTGGAAAATCTTCAAATACTGGACAAACCAATGAATCAGACATTAGAGTCTGTTTGCGCACACTGTACACCTGCCCTCGAGGCAGCAGTGTGACGTCACTCGTGTCCTGTCTCTCCTCAGGCTTCAGGGATGACTTCTTAGGAAGCAGGGGAGGCAGTCGCCCTGGTGACCGGCGAGCTGGCCCTCCGATGGGAAGCCGCTTCAGAGATGGCCCTCCCCTCCGCGGGTCCAACATGGACTTCAGAGAACCAACAGAAGGTACGACGAGCCGTCTGCATGCACACCGACTGTCCCGCGTAAATTTGTCCTCCAGCTTCACACAGTTGTTGCCTGGGTCACCCTTTTGTCCTAAATAGTGCGTTTGCCTCCCGTAGACTGTCTGGCGACAGAATTCAGTTCTGTACAGAGGCTGTCAATTTTGGGAGACGGGCTGGGTGGCTGAGCACGCACCCGGAGGTGGGATGGAGCCCATTCTGCATAAACCACCTCTTCTCTCCCCCAGAGGAAAGAGCACAGAGACCGCGACTCCAGCTCAAACCTCGGACAGTGGCAACGCCCCTCAATCAAGTAGCCAATCCCAACTCCGCCATCTTCGGGGGAGCCAGGCCCAGAGAGGAAGTCGTTCACAAGGAGCAAGAATGAGCTCACGGTTGGGAGGGAATGGGGGTGTGGGGGAGTTAGAGCAAGACCACAGCCTGGTGGCCCTGGACTGGCCGCCCTGCAGTCACCATTCCTGCGCCTGACATTGTCCTCCTTTCTTACAACGGAAACACAGAGCTTGTGACTGCATGTCAGCTGTTAACAAGTGGTTTTTAGTACATTCTTGGCTTCGCTCTGTCTCTAGTGCCTGTTAGGTGCTTCTTCTCCCCGTCCTTTCCTCCTCGTTCTCCTCTGTCCTCCCCCCTTGCTCCTTGTTCTCCGTACAGCACGTGGGGTCTGCGGGGTGACGCAGCGCCGTGTGGGAGCCTCGGCCAAGGGGCTGCTCCGCTGTCCCCTCACTTCCTCGTTTTACTTTGGCACTGGCCAGACTCCAGGTGTTCCCTTGGTTTTTCTCAGTGCTTCTCCTGCCCTGCATGCTGAGTTCTGTTGCTGTGGCTTCCAGAAGCAGCCGAGGTGCAGCAGCTCCACCAGCCACATCTCAGTTTGTATCGATCTGTGATCAGCAGACAAAATTGACCCTTGTTTTAAAACAAGGAAAAACACCTGTCGATCCCTGCAGGTTGCTTCCTGCTGCTATTTAGAGGGGTCCCTGACAGCGCCCCCCTGGAGGACTGTCTGGGCCAAATGGGCTCATCTCCGGAAGCCTTGGAGGGAGGAATAGCGGGCGTCAGGCAGGCACACAGTGACCAGCAGTGCTGTGCTCCCGGGTTCTGCTGCCGCTCTTCCAGGAGTGTCCAGAGTCCTCCCTCCACCCCCAGGTGCTTGAGGCTCTGGGCTCTACTGGGTGTAGTGCTGACAGCTCGGCTGCACTGCTCCCTCCAGGCGGGGGCGCCATGGGGCTGAGGGGTGGTGCTGGCCAGTGCGGCCAGGCCAACGCAGCTCCTCCTGTCCCCCTGTCGTCTGTGCTGTGCATCCCCTCGTGTCTCTGTTCCCCAGCACAAGCAACACAGAGGCTGCTTCCCACTCCCCCATGAATTCGCCGTGAAAGTGGGCCTAGAGCCCGGCCAGCACTTGACTGTTTCACTTGATGAATTGAAAGTCTTACATGCAGAGCTGTCAAGAGCCGCCGCGTCTTTGGTTGGCTACACATGTCTGGGTGTGTTCTCATCTGTGGGACAGTCTGTTGCTCCTGGGTACAGTGTTCAGCCCTCCCCTGGGGGGTGTGGCATTAGGCAGTGGCATTTATGCTTGAACACCACTGTGTGAGCAGGTGGGATACTAGTTAGCTCCTCGAGTCCTAGGGAAGAGAGGCCAGGACTGCTGGGGGCCGAGGGGCAGCCCGGCCTGCTCACGTGGTGTGCTTTGGTGGCAGTTCCTGGCTAGCTGTCATCCTGGCTCCTTGTACCCATGACCAGGTCTCAGCAATTTACAGAACTCTCTCTCCTACCTTCCGCCTGTCATCCTCTCCGCTTCTGAGATAAGAACCATTTGTGTAACACAGTACTTACCTTAAGAAAGACATGCATTGTGCGGTTGTACCAACCTGATGCTCTCAGATGACCTACTTACATCCTCAGTGTGGAAAAGATAAAGAACAAAGCAAACTCATTAATGGGCAGTCCAGTTGACTTTTAAATGTAAGAAAAGAGTGGAATTCCAAACACTTAACACATTCAGCTATATGACAGAAAGTAAATCTATGGATATGGTATTTTGTGAATGATCTTTTAAATAAAAGAAAACCTTACGTAATATTTAATGCTTGTCTTTACTTTTTTGAGTTTTTTTTTAAGCTGCTTGTGAAATTAGCAGTTTTAGATTTGGGAGGCACCATCCAGGTTTAGGAGAGCGCACTGTCATGTAAGGTACAGGGCTAGTGAATTTATTTTTAAAAGCTAGAAATGATGCCAGTCTCCCCCCCCCCTTTTTTTCCCTTTCCTTAAAATGTAATTTCCTCAACTGGCAAACCTTCCAGGCCTGGTGGTAGCTTTTTGTTAGGTAAACAGCTTTTCCCAAGATGGAAAAAAGCAAATGCTTAGGGTGTGTGTGTGTGTGTGTTTTAATAGTAGCTGCTTGTAAAAGAAATCCTAGGTCCTCCCGCGACACCGCGGGGCACCAGGACTCTGGGGGTGGAAGCTGTGGGCATGGTGCTCAGCATAGACTGCCCTGGGCTGGTATTTCTGGTCTTCTTCCAAAGAGGGGTGGATGAGCCAGGGAGCAGGCAGGCACACACGTTCCAGGTGGATTTGGGGGGGTCCCTGGAGGACCTGACCCGCCCCTGGGTCACTCCTCTGGAGTCCAATCCCTTTGTGGGTTGTGAGTGGGGGAGCGCAGCTCAGGCCTCCTCAGGCCCCGGGTCCCTCCCCAGGCCACAAGCTGGCACAGCAGTGCACACCTGGGCAACTCAGTGGGACCCTGTCTGAAACTAGGTCTAAGGGGTGTAGCTTGGCAGTAAAATGCCCCAAGGGTCAGACCCCAGGCCCACAAAGAAGAAAGCCTCCATTGCTGGCCTCTTGGAGGTGGGTACAAACTGGTAACAGCTATGCCAGGGCCAGGGGTTGGCTGGAATTCGGCTTTTGACTTGCAAATGGGACTGTCCCATACTCTCTGACCCAGGCTGCCTCCCCAGCAGCTAAAAAGCCTGCAGCCAACTTGCTGTGGATTCGTTTTGCTTGGTTTTGTGCAGTGCTGGGGTTAAGCCCAGTACCACTGCGCTGCAGCCCTGCCATGAGACCAGTCATCACTGAGTTGCCCAGGCTGGCCTCACCCTGGGGTGCTCCTGCCTCAACCTCCTGAATGGCTTGGGTGACAGGCACACACCCCACACCTAAATTTGATGTCCATTTGAGACAGAAACTGTATTCAAATATTGGATAGTTGTGCCGCAGTTAGGGGACTGACCTGTAGCTACGTGACTCTGGGTGGCCGGTGGCAGTGCCGCAGGAGGGGAAATTCCAAATGCCTAAGCACAACATGTTACATGTCTGTGTAACTAAGTTTAAGTACACCCAAAGAATAAGATCAAAAAGAGAAGAGAATGCATCTGGAACATAAGGGAATGTTCTAGATTCAGTTCACAGTGGGCATGAAGTATGTTTTCCTCAAGAAAACTGACAGTTGGGGCTGGGGAGGTGGCTCAAGCGGTAGCGCGCTCGCCTGGCAGGCGTGCGGCCCGGGTTCAATCCTCAGCACCACGTACAAATAAAGATGTTGTGTCCGCCGAAAACTAAAATATAAATATTAAAATTCTCTAAAGAAAAAAGAAAACTGACAGTTTCTACCAGCCTTTGTGGAAGTTCTGACCCTGGAAGATTCCTGGCTCTCGCTGAGAGGTTGTACTATGGAGTCATCTTTTCCAGCACATGTGCATAATAGCACAGCTACTGAGCTGTGAGTTGAGAGCCAAATCATCATCCATCCGTTCAGGGTGATGAAAGGGTTTGAGGGCCACACGTAGTACACACGCCAGTAATCCCAGCAACTGGGGAGATGGGCAGGAGAATTGCAAGTTCAAGGCCAGAGTCAGCAACTTAGATCCTTTCTCAATTAAGAGAACAAATAAAGGCTGTGGATGTTGCTTAGTGGTAAAGCACCCCTGGGTTCAAGCACGGGTACAGAGAAACAAAAAAGAGTGGGCAGCATTTGAGGTCATCTGTGCCTCTGATCACACTTTAAATGACTGAGGGGCTGTGGTGGTATTGGCCCGTGTGAGCCCTGAGTTTGATTCCCAGCACCACCAAAACCACAAAAACCCATAAATTTTGTGTTGAATACATTTTAAGTATATCAAGGCTTTCTAGTGGTGCTGGGCCTCTCTGGCCAGAGGCGGCTGCACCCAGACTGTTAAATAACAAAGGACTCCACTAGGAAGATGCTCCTGACGTTCTACAGCTGAAAGCGAGCCTCTGGTTTCTTCTGGAGGTTTTGTTCTCTGACACTGGATGGCAGGTGAGGTGTGGAACTTAGAGAAGGGCCTGGCAGCCCAGAGGCAGAGAGCTGGCATGGGGAGGCCCTGGGTCCCTTCCCCTGCACGAAGCAAAGCACCTACGCACAGCCTCTGGGGAGTGTGGCAGTGCCCAGGTGGGGGCTCCACGCGGGGCCAACCTAGAACCGTCTTGGCAGGCACCACCACCACCACTGGGCTTGGGAACCAGTGGGCCCAGGGAGAACCCCAGCCATGGTGGGCCTCAGCACTTGGGGTCACTCCTCTGCCCCTGCCAGAGGTGACCCAGCCAGGCACACGGTCCAGGGATGGGAGAACCAATGCAGGATGTCCTCAAGTATGTGGATGCCAGATCAATGGTCCCAGTGGGAGGACTGGCCTGGCGCCCCAGCTTGCCCTGGGTGTCACTGTGGAAAGATGTCTGAGCCCAGTGCACATGGCGATGCCCATGGAACAGGGCTGCTGGTCTTACCCTGGAACCAACTGGGAGTCGATGGTGCTGGCTTCAGTCTGTCCCATGGGTGGGACAGGGCAACTCCTGAGCCAGCGCCCAAGGGTCTCCCTGAGCCAGGGCCTGGACTTGTGCTACCCTCCTCCTCCACAGGGTGGCAGCAGAGGCAGGTCTGGCTGCCCATCAGCACTGTCCTGGACAGGATGACGGCAAAACCCAGGCTGAGAGACCCTAGTGGTGTCCCAGGGCTGGGGGCCTGGATTCTGAGACGCCAAACTTGCTGTGGGTTGGGACCCCCTGTCCCGTGCCCTGGTGTCTGGCACACGGGGTGCCGCGTACGAGTGAATCCCAACAATAAGAGGCCGTCCCTGGGGAATGCGCCGCTGAACCCACCTGGGGGGGCACGCAGGCATCCACCCTCCTTCAGGCCCTGCGTCCCCACGGGGCCCTGCGGGGAAGCTGAGGTCCTGTTCCCTGAAGGTGGCCAGGTGGGCAGGCTGGGCCAAGTTGCCCACAGTGTTGGCTGCAAGCCACCGCCAGCTCTGGCTCAGTCCCCTCCAGGCCACAGGGGCTCGGGTGGTTGGATGGCCGGGCCACTGGCAACTCCAGAGGATGTGCTCTCGTGGGCCCCACCAGGGCCGCTGGGCACAGAGGTCGGTCACCTCATCCAGGGCAGCTGCAGGTCCTTGCCAACCGCCTGCGCCAGGCCTGGCCTTCCTTTGCCACCAGTGGCTCTCCGTCCTCTGCACACATGTCCTCATCTGCTCCACCCTGGTATGCATGTGCCACACGTCTCTCCACCCGGTCCCCAGCGTCCCGTGTCCCTGCGTGTGTGTGGTGGTGTCTGAGCCTGCTCCCTGTCTCCACCATCATCTAGCTTTCCTTCTTCGTCCCCGTCCCGTGGTGCGTCTCCTCTCTGGGTGTGACGGTGGGTCTTTACGTGTTTGCCCATGTGTGTCCGCGTCTTTCTGTTCCCTGTGCTGTGCCCTCTGTCCCTCCCTTTCTGTCAATAGCTGAGCCTGTCCGGCGAGCAGCGGATGTGAGCATGACTCAGTGGCTGACAGGAAGCCCGTCACCTCGCCTGCTGCCCGCCAGTCTGTGGCGTTGGCGGCAGTTCGGGCAGGTGTGCGGGTGCATGTGTGGGCACAGAATGGGGTGGCCGCAGTGAGGCGTCCTGACTCTCAGGTAAGTGTTTCCCAGGGTGCCTGGAGCCTGGCTGAGGCAGAGGCCCCGAGGCTGTCCCCAACCCCAGAGGGGCAGTTGGTGGCCACTGGGTGGGTGGGAACAGGCAGGGACGCCTGGCGCCTCCTACGCTGGCACTTGTGGCCAGGGCCCTCAGCAGCTGTCCCTGTGGCTCTGGCCCCTTTCCTGCCCTCGCCATCCCAGCCCAGCATGGCCCTGAGAGCCCCCAGGGTGGCTCTGTCACTGTCCAGAAGTGGGACTATCTCTGCTGTGGGACTCCAGGCAAGTGTGCCAGGCCCACCCTCCTGCAGCTCAGCCAGGGGCTGGAGGGGACAGCTGTGGTGGGCTGGAGGGGACAGCCATGGTGGGGCTGGAGGCCTCTTTGTTCCAGCATTGTTGACAGGAGGCTGTGGCTGGCCAGCCTCTCAGCCACCCTGCCGTCACCACCATCACAGCCCCTGGGACAAGGGCTGCCGGGCCTGACCACCCCTCCTCCCCCTGCCCCTACCTGGGCGGACGGCCTCCCCTGCAGAGGACTCTCCCCAGCCTCATTGGAGACCCAGGCTTATTTGGACCAAGAGACAGACCCCAGGGCAGCGCCCGTGATCACGCCGGCCCAGAGCCTGGAGTTCGGGTGCCACCTCTCATACTGCCCTGGCCCTTGGGCCCGAGTCCCTGTCCCCAGCACGTGGAGCTGGCTGGGTGACTGGACGGATGGTGTGTGAGGCCCTTCCGGGTTGGGGGCCTTGGTGCCGCCACCCAGCGCTTTCCCACAGCCGCTGTCAGCAAACCCTGCTCATATGAAAACTGCCCACTTCCCTCTGCGCTATTTTGGCCTCCAGAGCCAAGGCCAACCCCGCCCAGCCCCACCTGGCCCCTTGGGGCTTTTAGGGCTGCGGGGGGGGGGCCCAGGGGCCCAGCCTGCTGCCTGCCACCACCTGCTCTGGAAACCTGGACGGCAGTGGGAGGCCGAGGGACAGGGTGGAGTGTCAGCCTGGGGCACAGGGGGACCGGGAGGGAGGGGCATGCAAAGCCCCCGGCCCTGGGCTTGCACCCGGCCTCTGCCTTCTTGGACACAGCACCCTCTGGCCCCGCTGCTCCCCTAAGGAGGAGCCTCCCTGGGGAACAGCCTCGGATCAGGCGGGTGCCCCAGGCGTTGGCCCTGTCCCTCCCCAGGCCCCTGGCCCTTCACCCTCATGGCTGTGGGGGAAAGCTCCGACCTCCGTGTCTGCGGGCAGCCAGGCAGGCAGGCTCCAGCACAGCTGCCCACAGCGTTTGCTGCAGGCCACCCTCAGCTTTGTGGCATCTCACACCACAGTCCTTGGGAACCACAGTGGTGACAAAAGTCCCAGTGGTCACAGCCGCCAAGGTCCAGCCCTGCACCACATGCATTGTCACAAGTCCAAGCCGGGCCTCAGGACAGACCTGAGGGGCAAGTGTCGTTATCTCCCCTGTCCAATAGGTGAGAGGACATGGACCAGGCCTGACCTGTCCCTCGCCCAGGGCTGAGGGCACTCCACAGTTGTGCCCACCCAGGACAGTCAGCTCTGGTGGCGGAAGGCCATCTTCCCTGGGAAGGCCTGAGGTACCTGGAGGGCAGCAGCAGAGATCAGGTCAGCTCCTGGGGTCTTAAGCAGACTGTTCCCTGTGGTGTGCCCTCTGTCCCTCTGGTGCGGGGCCCCCAGCCCACCAACGTGCCTGTGTCCGAGTCTTAGGAGGTAGAAAGAGTCACTGTCCTAACCAAAGGACAAAGATGACTGGGGTCAGCAGGGGAGGGCAAGCCAGGCAACCAGAAGTAAGAGGGACCCGAGCTGGTGTCCCCTGGGAGAGCGGGCCCGGCCAGCAGCAACGTGGGTAGGCCTGGGGCTGATCCCCATTTTGTAGATAGGAAACAGAGGCCTGGAGGCTCTGGGCACAGGCGGGATTTGGTCCCAGGAGTCCTCCCCAAGGCTAGGTGCTCCCGCTTCACACAGCTGGAGAAGAGGTGGCCCCGGCTGCCCAGGTGGAGGGGTGTCAAGGCACAGCAGGCCAGGGCAGGGGAGCCGAGCTCCCCTGGGCACCGTCCCGGGTGACGCGGCTTCTGCTGGTCACAGGTCTGTGGGTCCACTTGTGCTCACTGACTCACATGGCCTTGGGGCGGGCGAGGAGGCCATCGTGACGGCCCCCCTGTGGCTCAGGGCTGCATGGAGATTCCTCATCTTTGCCACCATCACCCCGGAAGCACAGAGAGTGAACAAGGGGACAGCCCTAGTCCCCAGCCCCAGCCTGGGGCAGCAGGCGGGTGGCACAGAGCCCTCTTCCATCCTGTGCCCACTCCAAGCCCTCCCCTGGGGACGAGGTGGGGAGAACTGGTGGGCACAGAGTGGCTCAGCCCCCCTGTGTCCCTGCCAGTGCCGAGTGCCATTATAGTTCATTCCCCGTGTGGCATGCACACCAAGGCCCAGAGGCAGGGAGGGTCACGGATTGTGTGGCAGCCCTCTGCCAGCTCCTCACCCCGACTGTCCTCCCTCCACCCCTGCCACCCCAGTGCAGCCCACTGCCAGATGCTGTGGGCAGCTGTTCCCTCCCCTGGGGGCCCCTTCCTGACCTCCCTCCTGGCTTGGGGCGGGGACTCAGGATCACAGGTGCTCGGGGGAGGAAGTGCCATTCTCAGGTCCTGGGAGGCAGAGGTGGCCCCGGGCGCCAGTGTGGGGGTGTCGGGTGGGCACCTGGGCTCTCAGAGGTGGGAGGAGGGACCTCAGACCCCGGGTCCCATGGAGCCCAGGACACGTGGCAGGTCGTGGCCAGCTGAGCCCGGGTTGGGGCCAGGGTAGCCACGAGTGGTCACCCCAGCCTGGGTTTCTCCATCTGTGAATCGGGGTGACCTGTCCCTCGGGGCTGGCTGGGCAGGGGCAGTGGCTTTGGGCTGCACGCAGGTGTGCTTGCGTCCGTTAATGGGCTCGGTCCCCAGCTCACACCATGGTGACAGTGGCAGGGCCTGGGGGCTGGTCCCATGGGGAACAGCGGCCCATCAGTCCCGGGAGCAGGGAGGGAAGACGCTGTGGCCTACCGATGAGGGCTGTCCAGGCCCAGTGGGGCCAGGAGCCTGAGTGGGGGCCGGCCTGACTCAGGGCCTGTTGCAGGCGCCGGTGGGTCACCAGGGCGGACATGAGCACCGGGACCGAGCTGCTGTGGCTGGGGTCCGCGCTGCTGCTGCTGCTGGGGACCGCGGCCGGGCTGTGTGTGCGCTGCTCGCGCCCAGGTAAGGGGATGGGGACAGTGAGAATGTCCCAGAGACCTCCCAGGCCAAGAGCTGGCTTGGCCGCAAAGCTGCCCTCTGAGGACCACAGGTCTGCTTCACGGGGGCTTTGGATTTGAGGGGTCAAGGGTGGTCTCTGGGCGGGCAAGTCACTCTGTACCGGGAGGGTGGCTGGGGTGCCTGGGATGCCCGGCACTGCGCCCTCCTCTCCTGACATCCGGTGGCCCACAGCATGGCTGGCTGGGCCCCGAGTCCTGCCTGAGTCCTGCAGAGGGCACGGGAGACGTGAGAGGAGGGGCCGCAGACCTGTCCCTGGGGCTCAGTACCCCACCTCTCCCGCAGGGCTGAAGAAGGCCGAGAAGATCTACCAGCAGAGGAGCCTGTGAGTGGCCTCCCTGTGGGCACCCACCCGCCCCGCTCCTCCCTGCCCCACCCCACCCCGGGGCGGGCTCCAGAGGGTCCCCAGCAGTCAGGGCAGGGGAAGAAAGGGCCCAGGGGCTGTCCAGGCCCCACCCCAGCCTGGATCAGGGAAGGCTTGGGGCAGGACCAGCCACCTCCAGCTTCAGAGGCCCAGGCCACCTGTCCTCGCCTCACTCTGACCTCAGCCCAGCAGCTCTCACTGGGCTGGGCAGAGGGGAGCCCAGCCTCACAGGCCATGGCCCCCGGGAGAGCTGGGCACAGGAAGTGAGCAAAGTCCCAGGCCCCCTGGAAATGCTCAAGGGGCTCAGGAAGGGGTATGGCTATGACCCTTGGGGGATCAAGGAAGGCCCAAGAGGGGGCAGGATTGGGAGAGAAGGCCCCATGGGGCTGCCTGCTGGATGTGACAGAACCAGAGTGGGACTGAGACCCAAGAACAACGCTGGGCAGTAGCCTTCAGTGTCCCTGTGATTGAGTAAGAGTGACCACAGACCACACTCAGGGACATGCACAGCCCGACACAGCATCACGACACTCATGGGCACACCCGGGGGGCACGCACACACACTTCCTCATTTCCCTTTGCAACTGAAAAACCACAGTGAGGTGTGGAAATAGAATCCCCCCTCCTGCCCACCCAGGGCAGGGCCAGGCCTGTCTGGCCTCTTGTGGACACTTGATTTCTGAGCCATGTGTTTGCAGATTCCCCTGTGGCCCCCAAGCCCCTTCCTTCTTCCACCCTGCCCCCTCAGCCCCTGATGGTCTCCGTCCCCAGTGGATCCCAGAGCTGTAGATGGCCAGGGCCAGAGGCTAAATGTCCTCGTGGTGGGGGGGGACTCCTGGACTGTCCCCTCCCTGGAGCACCTTCCCCTGCCCTCCTCTCTCACCTCAGTTGGGTCAGTCCTGCAGGACTGCCCAAAGCAACTGTCACCAGGCCCAGCTCCCCAGTCCCTTTCTCTAGGAAACTGTGCCAGATTGTCATGTGGCTTTAGGACATCCCTCCTAAATCAGGCCTCCCTGATTTGGCTCCGGGTAGTCTGGACCAGGTAGCCATGGCTCATCTGTAAGGGCAGCAACCATTTTCAAGGGTGCTTTATGGTCCAAGGTGGCAGCTGGAGCTCCGTCCCTCATCTCTGCATTCTAAGCAGTAGGAATAAAGAAGGGATAAAGATAAAAAGGGTGGACCCCAGCTGGAAGTGCTCTGTGTAAGGATATCTTGTTGCCCGGAGATTAATCATGGCTACACCTAGGTGTGAGAAAGGCTGGCAAACAGTCTTCTAGATGGGCTCATGGCCCCCTAAACAAAATCAGCGTTCTGCAAAGGAAATGGGGAGCCCTGTGGTGGTGGGGTACCTGGTTGTCAGCTGAGCGTTGATGTGGCTCACCAGTTATTGAGGAGTAAATGGCAGCTTTGAACATGCCCAGGGGGGACATTGTCTTGGGGAGGACAAACATTCCTAGGGCATCAGGCAGGGGGCAGGCTCTTGGTCACTGTGGCTGAAATCACTTCCCCTGGTCACTGACGAGTCCCTGAGCAGCCCAACCCTGAGGCCCTAGAAGCCTAGGGCGGCCTCCATAGCCCTGCCAGACACCCCTCCCCATCTCTGGGCCCTGGGGCCCAGCAGGATGTGGCTAGGTGGAGGCCCTGTTGGGGGACTGGTCTGGCTGGTGGCTGGTTTCCATCCAAGGCCGTGGGAAGGGGGCCCAGTGGGAGGGGCGTGGCCTGCTGGTGGAGGCAGGAGGACCCTGGTCTGAGGCCTGGGGGGCAGCAGCCCCCGCCCATTGTGGAGCTCCCAACCCTGCGCTCTGTGTCCCCTCCCGATCTGTCCCTGTGTCCCTGGGCTGTGGGAGGCCAAGCCCGCTCAGCCAGCTCCCCACCTTTCCAGGCAGGAGAACCGGCAGAGCTTTGCAGTGGCGCGCACGTATTCCTGTGAGTCCCTGGGCGCAGGAGTCCCGGGGTGGAGGCTGGGCGTGGCCTGGACACACACCAGGGGGCCTGGCCGACACCTCTTTGCCTTTTGCAGTGGTCAGGCAGCCCTGGCCAGGGCCACCGACGGGCATGAACCCTGACATGGCACCTGCAAGGTAGGGCAGGCTTCCTGTCACAGGCCCTGGGCTCCTGCAGCCCTGGGGGTCCCCACTTGGCTGCTGCTGGGCCCAGACCTCACTCCCTTCCCAGGCCCCAGAGCCCCAGGGCTGGACTCTGAGGGCTTCACCCAGGGCTGTGGGGCTGTGGCCTCCAGACCCCCGGAAGGCCCGGCTTCCCCCAGTGCCTCCCCTAGCCCCCGCCTGTCCCATCCCTGCAGGAATGATAAGCTGCTGCACTTCTCCAGCCCCTTGGACGGTGAGTGACAGCAGAGGGGGGAGAGGGGAGCCCAGCGAGGGGCTTGGGCCAGGCGGTCCCTCCTGGGACCCTCCTGTGCAGGAGTCCTGCTGACCAGGGCCGCCTTCCCAGGAGGCACTGGAGCTGGGGTTGGGGCTGATGGCACAGGGGACAGAGCAGTGCCAGGTGTGAGCACGGGGATGACCAGTTGGGCAGGGGCAAGGTCAGCAGGGGAGGACAGCCTGGCCTTTCTTCCAGATCCCGTGTCCCCCAGGTACCAGAACTTCAGCAAAGGTGGGTGGCTGGCTGGGGGCGGGGGGTGCCCAGCCTGGGGCTCAGGCCTGACTCTCTGCTCCTCTCCAGGGGACGGTGGGGACTCGGATGCAGCCTACATGTGAGTGGCCTCCCCTGCCCTGGCCACGCCTCCCCTGTCCCCCTGCCACTGCCCCCCCCCTTCCTTGCCTGTGAACCGTGAACTGCTTCTACAGTGGAGGAAGCTCTGGGCAGGGCTGGAGGGCACTGTCTCCGTTCAGGTGACTGTGGGAGAGGAGGGCCCTCAGGTGCCTCTTCATGTCACCAATGTGCAAACTGTAGCCCGGGCAGGTGGGGACTTGCCAAGGGCCTAGCAAGGTGCCTGTAGCCTGGCTGCCACCCCTCAGGCCCCAGGGTGACGCAGGTGCTCAGGAAAAGGGGAGGGAGGGATCCGGGGTTCCTAGGGGAGTGATGGCCAGAGCTGCCCCAGCCCCACTGTCCCCCGTGGGGTCACCCTACAACCTGTGCTGCGTCTGTTTTCTTGGCCAGAGACCCCATTGCTGCAGACTACTACAACTGGGGGTGCTCTACGAAGTCCCCAGAAGGTTAGGTGAAGGGCGGTGGGTGCAGTGGGGTGGGCACTTGACCTCAGAGGCCACGGTCCAGGGCAGGGCAGGGGAAGGGAAGGACAGGGAGGAGGCTGGAGTGGATCTGGAGATGTGCAGAGGCTGCTGGGGAGATGGGGCAGCCACAGAGGGTGGGGATGTGGGCAGAGCGGGGGCAGGGGAGAGCCATGGTGGGGAGCAGCAGGGAGCCAGGGAGGGGGTGAGCAGCCTGGCTTCCCAACTCCCAGGGCTGGGGGCACCTGGTGAGCACCGAGGGCCCCCAACAGGACGCTCGCCCATGCCAATGTGGGGTCCCCTACACACTTCTGAGGTTGGGGGGGCTTGTTTCTTGGTGTCCATTCACCACAAATGGACGCTGGGAGAGGCAGAGGCCAGAAGCCTCCCAGTGCAGGCTGGGTCGCCACACCAGCCTTGGTCCCCAAGCCCAATGACCTCGGCCTGTCCCACCCTATCAGAAGGGTCCAGCCCCTCCAGCAGCCAGGCCCTGCTGCCCCCCTCCCGCCCCCCTGGCCCCCCTCCAGCTGCAGCCCCTACTCTCAGCCCTCCCCGTGCATCTGGCTGTGACCTCGGGAGACAGGGAGGACGCCTGATGTCCTGGGGCCCCAGCAGACACTGGCACAGGGGGGAGGAGACCCGCCTGACAGGCCACATGCCTGCCCTCTCTGGCAGATGACGACGATGCCACCTCCTACGAGAACGTCCTCATCTGCAAGCCCAGAGCCCTGGAGTCAGGTGAGGCTGCCCCACCCCAAGGGCTGGGCCAGGGCAGGGTGAATCCTCGGCCAGGCCCCGCCTGGCTGGGGCTGAGGTCCCTGCTGCTGGGGGGCTGCCATCTCTCCATCTCTGGTGCCTTGGGTGCCCCCGTGTCCTTCAAGGAGGCCCATGAGCTCCTGTGCCTTGGGGGAGGGAGCAGGGGGATCCCTCCCTGGGTGGGCTCCCAGCACAGGAGGCCTCTGTGAAGGGAGGCCTGCCCCTCACGGGCCCTCCTGCAGGTTATCCCTGTGTCCCTGCGAGCAGCGAGGAGACTGAGGATTATCAGAACTCAGCATCCATTCATCAGTGGCGGGAATCCAGGAGGGCCGTGGGTATGTGGCCCGGGACAGAGGCCCAGGGTGCATCTTGAGCAGGCTGGGGACTGGCCTGCGAGGGTGGACGGGGTGGGCCTCCCTCCGGCCACACCCCTCGTTCCACAGCAGAGCCTCCAGCACACAGCAGCCCCAGAGGCCTTGGTCCTGCCTGGACTCCCCTCCTGGGCCGGCTGCCCATCCAGCAGCATGCCTGGTCTCCGAGGGACTCTGGAGAGCCTTGGTGACAGACAGATGCATGCTGCGAGTCCCCTCCAGTGTGACGTCTCCTGCAGGCCACTTTGTGGGGTCTGGGGTCTGAGACTGGGCACCCAGCTGGGGACAGTGGTAGTGTGTGGTGTGAGCCCTCCCACAGCCACCTGTCCCCATCCACAGAGCAAGGCCCGATAGCAGGACATCCCTGTCCAGCAGGAGGCCCAGAGGAGGATGCCGGGGAGCCCGACTATGTGAATGGGGACGTGACCATGACTGGGGAGGCCTAGGGGAGACAGGAAGGAAGGTACGGCACCCCCTAGCTTTCTGGGGCCCGCCTGGCTCTGAGGGAAGGGCCCACAGCTTGGAGGAGCCCTGCGGGGCCATGGTCCGTGTCTGTGGGTGCTCAGGAGAATGGGGGACCCTGTCCCCAGCTGTCTTCTGTCCAGCCCACCCGGTGCCCTGCCCTCTCCTGTGGGCCCAGGGAACCTCTCAGCTGCAAGCCCAGGTGACAGGTTGGTGGCACAGGGTCTGCAGCCAGGGGCACTGCAGCCCGAGGGGCCTTGCCCGCTCTCCAGAGGATAGCAGGGACAGCAGGGCCAACCCCAGATGCCCCAAGTCTGGGGGCAGGTGCAAGAAGGCGGAGGAGCCGGGCAGGGAGGTGCCTGGGAGGCGGAGGGCCGGGCAGAGCCAGCGGGTTGTGCTGCGAGTCCAGCTGAGGCCTGGTAGACGCAGGGACAGCAGCAGGTGGAGCCTGGAAGAACCCAACAGGGCTGCCTTGGGCCTGGCATGGGTGTGTCCCGAAGGATGGATGGACTGGGGCCTGGGGCCCGAGGGTCAGGGCTGCAGGGTCGGCCTGAGCGGGAGGGAGGCCACTGCCGGCCCCCTGGGCGCCAGGGAGCGGGTCTGTGGGGAAGGCCAGGAGCCTCTGCACCCAAGTCCAAGGTGCCCGTCGAGGCAACATGGAGTGGGCAGGCCAGGAGCTGGGCCTGGACAGCCTTGGGGACTGTCACTGCATAGGTGGCTCTGAAAGCCAGATGACTGGCAGAGAGTCACCAAGGGAAGGAAGGCAGATGGGGACCCAGGCAGAAGGTGATGGTTAAAGCAGCTGCAGAGGCAGCTTCCGGGGCCCTGAGGGTGACAGTGCTCAGGGAGGGGGCAGCCAGGCACAGGGGAGGTGAGAAGATGACAGAGCTGAGTGCCGCATGTTGGTGACAAGGGCTGTTTTGGTGACATGGGGGGATACCTGTTTTAAGAGACCGCGAATGGCAATCATTCCAGAAGTTTCACTTGAGAGGCAGAGAAAGGGAACAGGGCTGGAGGTTCTCAGGGGGCGTCTGGGTGTCCCCTCCAGGGGTATCCCTAACAGGGACCCAAAAAAGAAGATGACATGACAGCATGTCCTTTGCTGACAGATACCACCTCTGGGAGGTGTGGCTTGGGGTCAGGCAGAGGCTGGTGGAGGCTCTGCATCCTGATACAGCTGGCAGAGGAGAGCAGGGACAGCAGAGCCAACCTGGGGTGCCCCAGTCCAGGCAGGAGAGTTCCACTGGCCCAGGGTGGATGGGGGAGGTCCTTCCTGTGCAGAGGAAAGCACAGGACAGTCCTGTGCACGTGAAGGCCACATGCCCCATCCACCACCAGCACAGGCGGGACTCGAACTTAAAGCCCAGGTGCCAGCCAGCTGCAGGGGCACACGCCTGTAATCCCAGCGGCTTGGGAGGCTGAGGCAGGAGGTCCGCGAGTTCAAAGCCAGCCTCAGCAACTTAGGCCCTAAGCAACTCAGTGAGGCCCTGTCTCCAAATTAAATATAAAAAAGGGCTGAGGATGGGGATCAGTGGCTAAGCACCCCTGGGTTCAGTCCCCAGTACTCCCCCCTCCAAAACAAAATCCTGGCAGGACCCAGGGAAGGCCAGACTGCAGGGGCACCTGAAAGCTGAGCCTGGACCTGCCGTGGTTCCAGAGGAACAGGCACCAGCTGAGCCACGCCCTTCCTGTGTGACACTCTCTCCCTGCGCACTGCAGGAGCCCAGGGAGCCCCAGACCACGGACGTGTCTGCTGTCCTTCGAGGGCCACTTTCCAGTGCTGCTCCACTTTTGGGTCCCCGCCAGGGCTACCCCTGGAGAGGACCCACAGATGCCCCTGAGGACCTGCTGTCCGTGGGGAACAGTTGTATGTAAATAGCCAGAGCTGCAGCCCCAGCCCCGTGCCCTCTCCCGACTGGGACCTCCTCGGGGCAGGCCTGCTGCCACCTGGCTCCTGAGTGACAGCGCCAGGGACGCAGGGTGACGGCACCGTATCTAACACCATGCAACACTGGCCTCCGTGTCCTTTCTGCTCTGGATTTGGATCCCAAGTTGTTTACTCATGTGGCTTCTGTGACTTGCTGTGACCACAGGTCTGCAGTTAACTCATCCAGAGGGGACATACTGACATTCTGACCGCAGGTGGCTTCTCTCCAGTGAGGGCGCCCCCTCCCCTCTGCCCTTTAGTGGGGCTTCTCTTCGCTCTGGGCTTCTGTTCACTCAGGGGAGAGATGAAGCCAGTGTGGCGTCCCGCGTGGAGTTCCGTTGACGAGTTGCTCTCTGCTGGGACACAGTGCCTGTGGTGGGGCACAGGGCTGGCACACCCGGGATCAGAGCTGTGGGGGGGGGGGGTGAGGCAGGAAGCTCTCAAGTTCAAGGCCAGCCTCTGCAACTGTCTCATTTAAACAAAAAAGGGGAGGGCTTGCATGGGAGCTGGGAGCCTGGTGGTCAGAATGGACGCCCTGGAACCCTCCGGAGCCCTCTGCTCCTTGGCTGAGCTGAAGAGCTAAAAAGGGATCTTCTCACAGGCCACAAATGCCACCTGTGGAACAAAGTGTGTCCCCTCCACTGAATCCCCCCAATAAACCTCTGCGGCTCAGGAGCAGCAGTTCTCCGACGCCTGCTTCTCTCTCTGGGAAAAACCTGAATGAAAGTTGCATCTGACTCAGAAGAAATGAGAGGGAGGCTGAGGCAGGAGGATCCCAAGCTGGAGGCCAGCCTGGGCATCTTAGTGAAACTCTTTCTCAAATACAAAGGGCTTGGCTGTAGCTCAGAGGTCGAGCACCTCCAGGTTCAATCCCAGGACCATCCAAACCAACGCACAAACAATGCCTGGGATTTGCTCCAAAATCACCTGGGAGAGGGCAGGGGACACAAGGAGCCTGGCATGTGTCAACAGCAGTGCTCGGGCAGGACAATGAGCATGAACATGGCAAGAGTCACAAGGCAGTCTCTTTTATTCTTTTTTGATACCAGGGAGCCACGTCCCCAGCCCTTTTTATTTCTGCAGACAGGGTCTTGCTGAGTTGCTTTGCACCTTGCTGAGCTGCTGGGACTGGCTTTGAACTCGCGAGCCTCTTGCCTCAGCCTCCTAAGTTGCTGGGATCACACCACGGTGTGCAGCCCTGTGCCCAGCTCTCTTTACTTCTATATACAACTGAAAATTTCCATAATTAAGCACATGGAAGGCCCTGGGTTCAACCATAGCACCGCATGCGACCATACACACACACAAAGGAAAACAGTGCCTGTTCAGACACAGTGGCAGCCTACAGTATCCTGAAGCCCACAGGAGAGCACACATCACCACACAGGAAAGGCCACAGGGCGAGCTCTCTGGTCTAGGCCTTCCGCTGGATGACCCAGCCCCCCAAGCCCTCTCCCCTCCCCTCTCCATCTCATCATCCCTCACCCACTTAGCGGAGCTTTGGTGGAATCAGGCTTTGCAGTGGGGGCAAGAGGCCCCCCAGCCCACCCCCTGTCTGGAGAGCGCACCCCTGCTGTTCCGAGAAGTCTTAATTTTGCAGGAAACCACAGCAAACCCGCCCTCACCCACTGACCTGGGCCCTTCCAGCTTCTAGAAAACGGAGATTAGCTGGTCCAGCCCGTGACCTAAGTGGCCTTTCCACCTGGGGGGTGCCGGGGCACACAGAGGGGGCTGGTTTTCCGGGAGGCCCCGGGAGTCAAACGCAGCAGATACAGGAAGGCTTTATTAGCACCGGCCAGCGGGACAGGGGTCAGGGCCCTCCCGCTGCCCACACATCCGGGGCCTGGCGCTCCTGCAGAAGTGGTCAGGGAACATGGGAGCAGGTGAGCTCAGTCGGAGGCCCAGCGCCATCGTGGGGCATCTCCCCGTCGCAAGGTGGAGACCCCAGCGTTGCAAGGGCAAGGCCTCTTCAAACTGCAGCCTGGACGCGCTAACTGGCCACAGGGGCTATTGTCTTCTGACACAGCCTGGCCAGGAGCCCCGCCATCTGCAGGAGGGAGTTCACGCCTTCGGTGACTTTCATGTGCGTGTATCCAATTTCCTGAAAAACAAGCCCAATTCCAGTCAGGTTAACAGACAGGGAAGGTTTGCTGTTAGCCTGAGCTCACAGCCTGCTCCAGCCGGGAGGGAGGCAAGGGTGTCGTGGGTCATGTGCAACTCAAGCTCAATTTACTTCCAAAAGGATGAAAAATATTTCTTTGAAAAATACTGTTAAGAAAAACATTTTTTTTTACATGATACTTTATTTATTTTTAGGGGGTACTGAGGATCAAATCCAGCACCTTGCACATGCTAGGCGAGCGCTCTACCGCTGAGCCACATCAGCCCCAGTTAAGAAAATTTAAAAAAAGTAGAAAAGAAAAAGAAAAGCCAAGCTAGGAGATTCATAAGTTCTCTATGTGACTCTCTGAGGGAGGACTCTCACCCAGGACGTGCAAAGAACCCTCCAACCCAGCAACGTGCTGGGCCGGCTCAGTGGCAGAGCGCTTGCCTGGCACGTGGGGGCACAGGTTCCAACCTCAGCACCACATAAGAATAAAGTTATTTACAAAAAAACTCAAAAATGGGTAGATGTGCACGATGCTTTGTCAGAGACCACAGATGGCCACTAAGCACCTGCGAGTGTACCTGAGCCTGGTGAGGTTCCACAGCCCACCCACAGGCGGCCCCACTGGCAGGAGGATGACACCTCCCCGTGCCCATGAGCTGCAGCCCCAGCCTGGTGGTCTCTGACCTGTGTCCCACTGGACACGTAGCTGCACCCGGGGTCTATCCAAGAGACACGACAACATGGCATCCACTCTGCAAACCCTCCAGGTGGCTTTGTCCACAGCAACCCAAGTGTCCCTCGCCTGGTGACGGACAGCGGGGGCACACTCAAGGGGCAGAACACACTCAGAACAGAGAGGGCTGGGCTGCCCTTGGGCCTCAGCTCAGTGAACCCACAGGCGACGCTGAGTGCAGAAGCCAGACTTGCGAGAAGGCTCTGCAAGATCCCATTTGCATGACATTCTGGAAGTTTCTGTCTCCAAAACAGAAGACATGGGGGTTTCTAGGCTGTGTGGAAGGAAGTGACTTCAGAGGGGCATATGGATTTTTCTGACGGGAATGGCAGTCGTGTTTACATGCCTGTCCGTCACTATAATATCTAAAGGACTGAACCGTCCTCTACATGAAAGACATCTCCATCCACCCAACCTTAAGACACAAAGGGCCAGGGACAGCTCAGCGGCAGGGCCTTGCCTAGCACGCGCAAGGCCTGGGGAGTGTCCCAAGCATTGCACTCAACGGGTCAACCCTCCCACTGCCACTCACTCAGTGAGACCTGGGATGCAGAGAGCCACCTGAGGGTGCCCAGGTCACTGACTGCAAAACCAACGAGATGACTGCCCCACCCCTAGATAGCCAGCCACCCTCTCTCCCACCGTGTCAGGGGACACAATAGACATCTCTGCGACATCAGTCCTGAAACAACAAAGAAACTTGAACGCTGCGCGCATCTTTGAGGCATTTCTGCCCTCTGACCAACCTTGATAAACTCCAGCTTCAAGTACTCGGCCATTTGGAAAGTTTTACACACTCGAAAGATGTTGCCGATGACATCCTCTGGCGAATAGCCCAGATGCCACAGGTGGGCCAGGATCTAGACGGAACACAGCAAGGTCAGAGCCCTGTCCACGGCCAGGTACCTGGGAGCCGGGCAAACCTACGCCAGTCAGGCCAGCACAGGGCTGGGGCAGGCCACGGGCCAGACAGCCCACAAGGTTCCGAGAACCACCTGTCCCCACGGGGATGCTGGGGGCCTCACAGGCCTCAGGCTGACCACACCCTGATCCCAGGAGCCAGTTTAACTCAGTTCCCTGCCGCCAAGAAGGTACTGCAAGACAGTCCACCACCAGGTCCACCACCTGGCCACGTCATGGCTGCCGGGAGCCTGCGACACTGTACCAGCTCCTGCTGATGGGTGAACCTAGGGCAGAACCAAGCCTGCAGGGCAGCAACCTGGGAGTCTCGGCCTCCTGCCTCCTGCACGCAAACCAGGGACTGGAGACAGCCGCTGCCTTTATGTCTTGGGGCAAACCCGAGGTGGGCTGCTCTGCGTCCACAGATCCGGAGGCTCCTCAGGCCCAGCCAGGGCGCGCACCTCAGCCCCCGATTGGTGCTCCACCTTCCCACCAAGCTGCCCAAGCCGAGGCACGCTCCACTGCGTGTGCTGGGCCTAGAAAGGGAATCCTGTGGCCAGACCAGTGCCTGAGTCCCACCATGGCCCGGCGGGCAGCTACAGGTCACCCGGACCCCAAGTGTGCCCACAGACTCTGCCCACGGGACCAGGCCCTGATAGATAAGGCCCCTCCTGGCTGACGGGGATGGCTCAGCCCCACAGTGCCCATCTTCATGCTCCCCAGGAGGATGAGGGACACAGGTCCCCCTGTCCCTGGGGAAGATGGTGTCCCTGGGGAAGGTGCTGGGCTGGTGACTCTGGGTGACAGATTTCCCCACGGGAGGATGTCATTAAAGCCGAAAGACACACTTTCAACCCCAGGCTGACCAGCCAGTGCAGTGTGGGCGAAGGACTGGCCCTGAGGGACCATGGGGCCCTGGTCTACAGAGCGCTCCAGCCTGGGGCCCAGGAGAAGCCAAGCCTCGGGGTGGGCGCACCTTGTAGGCCTCGTCGACGTCGCCGTGCACGCAGTGCTGGATCATCTCCTTCACCAGCAGCGGATGCGGCTCGTCGCAGACCTGCCGAACCAGAGAGGGGTCAGGAGGCCCTCGCTGCTTACACCAAAGTCTCCAGCAACAGAAGGAGCTCTGGGAACATCCCTGTCGCCACCAAAGAAGTCCCCAAACAGAGCAGCTTCCCCGACCCAGGGCTCATAGATTCCCATCCATGGGACACGTCCAGCTCCTCCTGCCTCCCAGGACGGGGAGGACTTAGTGACAAGGAGGTCACAGGAGAGCAAGGCGTGCATGTGCCCTGGGGTCCTCCTCAGCAGAGGCCGAGGCCAGCCCCGCGTCCCAGGCCAGGCATCTGTCCCTTCCTGAGCGCGGGTGAGGACTGCCGGGGTCCCGTACCTTAAACACGTTCTCACTATTGATGAAGCCAAACCCCGAGAAGGTGGACTGCAGGTTGTTCAGAGCCTGTGGGGGACAGAAGTGTGGCACAGTGACCTCCCGCCTCCCCTCCTGCAGTCTGAGGCGGCGCCCGCCCTCCAGCCCGGCGCCCACACACCTGCCGCATGTCCCCCTGGGCAGTGAAGATGATGGCCTCCAGGCCGTCGTCCGTGTACCGCACCTCCTCCTTCTCCAGGACACTCATGAGCCTGGCCAGCACCTGCGCATCCGTGAGCTTGGTGTAGCGGAGCACCGCACAGCGCGACTGGATGGGCTCTGGGCGGAGACAGGGAGGGGAGGGTGAGGCCCGGCAAAGGCCAGCACCACCTGAGGACTGCGGTCACAAGGACAGCTGCGCCTTCCCTGCTGCCGGCTGGTGGGTGTGCAGGAGCGACAGGGAGGCCAGGCAGAGCCGCCAGTGTCCACTGAGCAGCACAACCGTGTCCAGCTCAGCCTCCCACAGGGGCAGCCGGCCTCCGAGACAGTCCACATGCCACAAGCCCCACAGGCCAGTGCCAGCCACCCAGCAGCCTCCAGAGTCAGGCCTCCAGGTGGCCTACAGCTCAGCCAGGCGGGGGTGGCAGCGGACACCACGCAGCCTCTGCGTGGCAGGGCCGAGGGCCGGAGATGAGCGCTGCCCCCTGCAGCTCTGCCTGTCCTGCGTGTTAGGCTGACACGGGGCCACCCACCTGTCCACACCAGCAAGGTCCCCCGACCCCTGCGCTTCTGCCAAGGACAAGCTTCACCAGTCTCCAAGGCCAACTCTCTGCCTCTCACCCTGCACCTGACCTCCCGCTGGCCCCTCGCTCTTCGCCCCACCTCCCTCCCTGAGGGCTCTTCCCACTGACGACGTCCCCTTTCCCAGTCTGTCCCATCAAGTCACAACCACCTCACACAGCACCCCCACACCGGCTCCCACACGTGGCGTAACACTGGCCAACCCAATCTCCAGTCTGAAGCGCCCCTCAAGGTCCTCACACCCCAGGTCACGCACCCTGCTGCTCTGTGGGTGCAGGATGCGCCCACGGCCTCCCTCAGCGCGGGCTCTGGAGCCGCGGAGGCTGGAACAGCCTGGAGACGGTGCTTCAGCAGAGCTGTGCCCCAGGCTAAGGGCCCCAGGCTGGACGAGGGACCCGCACAGCCCAGGGCAGGGGACAGGAGCTGGGGAGGGGCCAAGGCTGGGGCAGACACACCTCGTGCCAGGCCACCGCTGAGCAGCAATGGGAAGGTGAGCGGGGCAGAGGGTCCCGGCAGCTCCAGGGCCACCCTGGCAGCCACCGGGGTAGAAGCCTGGGCCACAGCACCAGGTCGAAAGGAAGGAGGGAGCCCCGGCCTGGGCTGGGGGCAACAGGGGCTGGGGAGGCCACTGCACCGGGAGACCCTCAGATTTGACTTGCACCAGGACAGAGGGGACGTGAGCACTGGAAGGAGAACATGGGGGGACTTGGCTCGTCCGGCTGGGGAGTGGCCTGTGGGGGCAGAGGTGCTGGGGCAGCTCCGCTCTACCACGTCCATCCACAGCAGGCAGGTGGCCTCCACCATGGGGTCTGTACGTAAAATGCGACCAGCTGCAGATGGGGTGAGACCTTTGAGAAAGCCTAAGGCCAGGTGTGGTGATGTGCGCCTGTGACCCCTGAGACAGGGAGGCTGAAGCAGGAGGCTCGCTCGAGGCCAGCCTTGGCAACTTAGCAAACCCATCTTAAAATAAAATGAGAAGGGCTGGGGCGTGGCTCAGGGGTAGAATGCCCTTGGGTTTGATCCCCACCACCACCAACAAACATGTAAA